TTCAAAATAAAAAATTTCGTAATTTGCATAATAATAATAAATTTTATATCACGTTCCGCGCGCTAGCGTTCGTAACATAGTTAATAATAATTGGTATTAATTAATAATAAATATACTAATAAATTTTGTAATAAATTATGAATTAATAATTAATAATTGATAATTGATAATTGATAATGATAATTTTGAGTTAAAATTATTCTTTTGTTCACTCTTTGTAAGGGCTAATAATTATATTGATTGACTCTGTGCGTAAAAGAAATTTAACATTTAAAAGAATGAAAAAAATTACAGTGCCCGAGGAGTTAGAAACAATTATAAAGTGTTGCACCTGCGCCAATTTTGGTACGTAGAATAATATTGGTGAACAAAAAGGGTAGGTGGAACAATACGTGTATGTAGAATCTTGGTCATCATCGCGCAGGTGCATTGTGCATGGATTTTTGTTGAGTCAAAAGAAGAAAAGTAAATGTCACTTAAAAATTGCTATACTAATAGATAAGGTTAAAGTGTTAGAAACATGATTTGAAAAAGAATAGAAATACCTACATCAATATTTAATGCAGAATTAAAAATCTTAGGGAATTTTTTTTTATGATCCAATTTTTTTAAAGTAGTTAGAATAGTTATTATTTAGACAGAAAAAATAATTAATTAATTATTATTAATTAATAGTTCTTAATAATTAATTAATAGTTCATTAATAATTAATTAAACAGAAAGAATAATTAAGACTGAATAATTAAGAATAGATACTATTTAAAAAGACAGAATAGTCGAGAATGAATATTATTTAAACAGGAAAAATAATTATATTATTTGAACAGAAAGAATAATTAAGAATGAATATTGTTTAAAAAGTAGGAGTAATTAAGAGTAATTATTATTTTAAATCAATTGTTAAAATTTTAAAAAAAGTATAGTTTTTAAATCTTTTTTAAAAAAAGGTGGTTATAAAAATATTTATTTCTTTATATATTCTATGGAAGTTAGGTTTCCTCGCATTGTTGGGTTTTACTGCTTAGTAAATGTGTCTCCAAATTGTGGAAAAATTATAGTCATTAACTTTGCTAATAGTATGCACAAACATGTTTATTTTTTCTAAACTGAGTTGTGTAAGTTGTGACATAAATATCAATAATATAATTTTGAAAAACATGTACATTTGTATTTGTTGTTGAATTTACTTGTATTACTTCAGGGGGTGTACGGGGGCTGTAAAATTAAATTCTTTTTTTTCACTTCAGATGGAGAATTTTATTAATTTCTCTATTTGCTACTTCAGAGGGATGTAGAATCAATTTCGGTTTCACTGAAGAGACCTCTTGTCTCAAATATTGAATATACTCATTTTGAGTTGCAGCAAAAATGAAATTTTTGTTTAATTATTACTGTTTTTTATTTTATGTTTTTAGAGTAATTTTTTTTTTCTTAAAATTTTTTCTGCTTTTTTATAATAATTCCCTTTATGAGAAAACCTAACTGGAAAAATAAGTGCATTATTCACATATTATTAGAAACAAGTAGACATATACTTGCAATTTACTGTCTTGTAAATATGTTTGTAGAATTATAATAACCTGAACAATAACAGTAGTTCTTATTCTAAGCAACTTGCTATTATTCCGTTATCTGTAACAGTTACTATATCTTTAACAAGAAATCAATTTAGAAATATAGAGTTGAAAATGTGTATATTGTTGTGTGCAATAAGAGGTAAATACTTTGTTATATTATTTTTATACAAGGAAATGTATATTTTCTTAGTTGTAATACGTATAATGATAATAAATTAGTTCTTCATTAAATTAATAATAATATATCTTTCAACTTCTCTCGTGCACTGTAAATTGCTCATTGTTTACAAATTGCAGCAAAGTGTAAACTTGTTTGTGAATTAGTTCATAATGGCGAAAGAATAAGTGTATTATTTAGATTAAGAGTTTGCGAGGTAGAAATTAATTAATAAACGCTTTTGGTTTTATGGTGCTTTTGAATGTTTAAATTTGATTTTATTAAGGGCCTTACTAGAAACTAGCGGGGCCCTAGCTGAAATCTTTAACGGTATAATTTTGAGAATTTTTGAGAAGTTACAAATATTTGCAAAAATTAAATTATTTTTAAAAGTAATAAAATTCTTTGCAAAAATTCAATTATTCTTACTACAACTCTAATAACATTTCATGAAAGAATTCAATTTTTTTTTAAATTCTTCATAACATTTTTCGAAAATATCCAATTATTTTCTAAAATTTTAATAAATCCTTCGAAACAATAATTCAATTGTTTTTATAAATAGTAAAATTCATCGCAAGAATTAAATTATTTTTCATAAATATAGTAAAATTCTTCTCGCAGGAATTCAATTATTTTAAATACAATTATTAACAAATTCGATTGTACATTCAATAAATTAAAGAAATTTTTCAAAAGAATTTGATTATTTTCTAAAAATTTTAATAAAATTCAAGAATTAAATGTTTAATTTCAGATATTAAGAAAGATGATTATTGTAAAAACTTGAAAATAATTGTTTATATAAAATTGAATTACTTTGAAAAACTTTCAATTAAAATTATTATTAAAGAAACTCCATTCTTTTAAAGAAACTCAAAGAAATTCTTCAAAAGAATTTAATAAAGATTATAGAAAATGTTAATAAAATTTAACAAAATTTTTCCCAAAATCAATTAGTTTAATAAATATTAAATAATATAAAATTTTTACAGAGATTCAATTATTTCATAAATTATAAAATTTTCGCAAGAATTTAATTATTTGCAAACACAATTTTCATAAAATTTTTTGAAAAAAAAACAATTATTTAAAATACTTTTTATAAATTTCTTCGCTAGAATTCAATTATTTAAAAAAAAAATTAAAAAAGTTCTAAGTAAGAATTCAATTATTTTTGAAATCCTTTGATGAATTTTTTTCTCGTGAAGAATTTTGTTAACATCTTTGAATATTATAATTAAATTCTTTTGGAAGCTGAATTTCTTTGAATTTTTTTTTAAATTATTGGAGTTTCTTTAATAATTTTAATTAAAAATTTTGAAAATAATTGAATTTTATGAACAATTTCTTTCATGTTTTTAAAATAATTGTGTTTGTTAATAATTGAATTTAAATATTTAATTAGGTATTGAATTTTATTAAAAAATTAGAAAATAATTGAATTCTTTTGGAAAATTTTACAATGAATTAAAAAAAAAATTCAATTCTTTCATGAAATTTTTTAGAAAATAATTGAATTTTTGGGGAAAATATTAAAATTTTTTTTAAATTTGAATTCTTTCATGAAATGTTATTAAAATTGTATTACAAATAATTGAATTTTTGCAAAGAATTTTACTATTTATAAATAGAATTGAATTATTTCGAAGGATTTATAAAATTTTTAGAACATAATTCAATTCTTCTGAAATATTTTATAACGAATTAAGAAAAAAATTGAATTCTTTCGTGAAATTTTTTTTGAAAATAATTCAATTTTTACAAAGATTTTATAACGAATTAACAAAAAATTTAAATCTTTTGTGAAATTGTTTTGAAAATAATTTAATTTTTACAAAGATTTTACTATTTAAGGGCATTTGAACCTTGATGACGTCACACATGCTTTGCACAAAGTGTAACGTCATCAAGGTTCAAATGCCCTTAACAAAATAATTGAATTGTTTCGAAGAATTTATAAACATTTTAGAAAATAATTGAATTCTTTTGAAATATTTTATAACGAATTAAGAATAAAATTAAAAGTTTGTTTAAAAAAGGTTTAATTGAATTATTTTGATATGTTTTGAAGTTTTTATTTTCTAATATATGTTTAATTGAAGAATTTTCGAATAATTGAAATTTCGTAAAATTAAATTGTTAACAAATGTATTTGAAAATTTTAAGAAGAATTTTAGTTAAAAATTTTAGAAATTAATAATTGAATTAAAATGTTGAAAATAATTTTGAAGAAGCGTAAGGGATCGTCCATATATTACGTAACACTTTTTGGGGGGAGGGGGGGTCAAGCTATTTGTTACGATAAGCCAAAAAAATGGCGCTAATGTATGTAACAGCGTGTTACATGGGGGGAGGGGGGGGTCAAAATTTTCAAAAATTAGCGTTACGTAATATATGGACGGCCCCTAACAAAATTCTTATAATATGAAATAATGGTTTTATCAATTTGCCATCTTTAATTATAAAACATGAAGAAAGCGATTACTCCGAGTCGAATCACTCCGAACTCGGAGTTATCGATACCTTCATGTTTTATAGTTGTGAAAAATTTAATTTATAGTTTTAAGTAAAATGTTCTCTTATTTGACTCTTTATATTTTTGTCAATTGGTCCGTAAATGGTTCGTAATTTTTCATTTTTGGTCCATAAAGTCCGTATTTTTAAATACTTTCACTGCGGTTCGAGTTTTGTAAATAAAATGAACAGTTTTCAAGTGAAAAATTTGGTCTAACAATTAATAGTGTAATTAGAGACAATTATTGTTTCTAATTATTTAGATTGTATAAACGTACTATATTCTATATTTTTGAATAATACCCAGGAAGTATTATAGCAATAAATTGTGATTAATGTTATGATTAAAAATTATTAATGCTTTCTAGTACCGTATTGTTCACAAATTGGGTTACTTTGTACTGCGTTCAAACTGGGTTTCAACAAGAGGCTTACTAGAAACTAGCTGGACCCTTATTATAACCCTTTTTCAAATAGACTTTTAGTAATAATTCAATGCGGATTATTTTTTACTTCTTTCTTTTTTTTCACGGGTTTGCCTCACCGTGTAAAACATCCCAAAGTATAAATAGTTCTCTAAAAGGCTGCGATTAAATTGCAATTAAAAATTAGCTCTGTAGTAAATAGAATCCAGTAACATGTAAAGTAATCAAGTAATTACTGTTTAAGGCAGAAAAATTAAATCGAGCATAATTGACTATCTCATCTGAAAAGGTAAAAAAAGGTGAAAATATAAGAAAAGCATTAACCTGCTAATCTATCTTTAAGATGCGGATGCGCCTGCAGTGGATGAGGAGCAAGATTAGCAAAGAAGCTAGCTCTAAGTCCAGCAGCAGCAGCCTGTTGTTGACTATGCTGAAGAGCTTGAAGATTCCAATGAGGTATCAGTGCCTGATTGGGTACCCCCGCGGTTGGTGTGCCATTCGTGCCCGGTGGCCTGTGTGCCGGCACTCGAATGACTCCACCTCCGGTGTAAATGAGTCCCGAACCACCGGGAAAGAGTCTGAAAGGTGCTAATAAGTCGTTCGAGTGAAGTGAATGGCTGGTGGGAATCTCTGGCGTGCTTCCAGTGTCGTCATCGTCGTCCTTCTCGGAAGTTTTCTCCTCACCTTCCGGCTCCCATGATCGTCGTCCATCTTCCAATGTTGACGTACGATTATTACTCTCGTCCCATGTCCATGAGGATCTTCGATCCTTGTCACTGTCCAAATCCTCGGACGATGGACTTTTTGGATTTTGACTGCGGCTCTCGCCGAGGAGACGACTTATGCTAAAGGGATGACTTATTCTCGGCGCTTCCGATTGATGTTGCTTTGTACTTGTTTGATTGGGCGGTGGGGAATTTGAACACTCGGACGGTACATCGTGATTTCTATTTGAATCGTGATGTAAATAGTTCCTGGGACTACAACTACGGGAATCGGAGTCATCGACGTTTATCTCCTCCGCAGCATCCACATCACTGTCTGCGTGATCCGACATTATTCGCTTTCTTGATCGGATCTGCAGGTTTTATGATTCGGAATGGTTTGCTGTTTGCAGTTAGAACAGTATCATTTTTGGGGGGGAACTTTTTGCTACATCTTACACATATGGAATGTGAGTTTATAACTTGTTGTTTTCTTCCAAGAATTTACAGAAGGAATGTTAAATTTCATGGAATATTTTCGGTTTATGAGTTGTGACTTAGATTTGTATTTGTAGTATACAATGTGTATTTTTAGGAGTTTTCTTTAGTACCGTGTTAAGAACAATGTGTAGTACAATGTATTCTAGCAAACTGAAATGTTTGAGAGCTAAAAATTATAAAGGTCGCTTGAAAGTAAGATGCATCATGAGATGAGCCGTGACGATGCTCATCCGACGTTGTCTGATTATTTCATGCACTGTTGAACGAAGATTCCTCTCAGTTCTAGTTTCCTTTCCGGCGGACGGAATGATGCTGGGGAAAGTGATTGGTTTCGCGGTATCCTTGAAATGACGATAATTCCTGGTATCCTTGAAATTTCCAAGGGGATTCATTCCTAAATAAAGAGAACTGTAATGTCTTCCTTTTATCTCAGGGTTAATTATTAATCCTGCACTAAAATCAACAAGCGATCACACTTCTTTCACAATATCTATCATAATCCTCCCTTATCACCATTATGGATCACTTTTGGTCATGTCACACTGGTAGCACATTCGATCATCACTAAACACTGGTGAGAATTTTTATTTTTTTTTCGCTGAAAATATCGCGGTCACGTGACAAAATCGCGAGAAGAATCGTGACTCGCTAAACCGGAGTCGTTGCTTGATCGTGGTGAAGTGAATCAGACCGGTCTCTCAGGATAGGAGACGGTTGAGACCAGCGAGGGAGAGACAGAGAGAGAGAGAAAGGGAGAAAAAGAAAGAGAGAGGTGAACCAGGTGGTTAGACCCCACTACAATGGATAAAGTGAGAGGCGAGCGCGCGCGCGCAAAAGGTGAACCTAACCTCAGGCATCTATGGGGCATCGCCTATCCTTTGGTACATGGCCAATCACATCAGCACTTGGCACGCCCTACTGCTCTCTTATTGGCTCCGAGCAAATTGATACCTATTTAACATTTGAGTAGAATGTTGCAGGCGATCGCCTCTTTTCTCCCTCTGTATTATTTATTGCGATCGCCTTTTTTCCCCGCTCGCTTGCTCGCTTGCCAACCTTACCGCGTCCCGCCGCGGCGACCCGAAGAAGCGGAGGGACTTAATTACGACAAATATTGTCCTCCCCTACACCCTTAAACTGCTATAAGCTCCTCTCTCGCTCTTGTGAGCGCCGCTTCTTTTCTTGGACGATTTTTCCATGAAAAACCCCCTTGCCCTACTGCATCCCCTTAACACTATGTCTACGAGAGGTTTCACGCTTTTATTATAGGTTATCGCTGTTGGTGCTTAACTTTCCTTAACGCAGACGGCGTTACTCTATAGCCAATTGTTTTCAACTTCATGCGACAAATTAATTTAACCAGGCGCACGCTGTAATTCAACTGAAAAAAAAGACTTTTTGGTGGAGTTTAGAGTTGATGGTAAATTGGATTTTAAGGGGGAATTTTCGTTTGAATGAATTTAGGTTTGAGGGAAATTTATTTTGGGTCGGTTTTCTTCGTGAAAAGCCTTCTTCTCATTAAGCCAATCATTTTTTAGGACCTTTTCATTTGACCAGTTTCTTAGGTAATCATTTTTATCTTATTAGTTCGGTTCTTAAAGACCTAAACCAAGTTTTTTTTTGATCGAATTTTCATTGAACTGCTCTCTTAATTTGAATCAGTTAAAAATCATGGTTTTATAACTGCCAATCAGTGACTGACTTTTTGCTTCTAAATCAGTTGAAAATAACTGATTTTCAGTAAAAAATAACTGAAAAATAAATTAAACTTAAGTAATTGAAACAGTCAAAAAAATTTACTGAAACATCAGTTATTTGTCACTGACAATCAGTTATTTTTTACTAATTGTCAGTAGAAATATTACTATTTTAATTAGTGACTGACTTTTTTTGCTTCTAAATCAGTTAATTTTAACTGATTCAAATTTAGAGAGTGGTTTTTCAATTACAGGGATGCCACAGGTCAGGGGAATTTAGGGAAAAATCTAGGAAAGTAGAATTGGTCAGGGAAATCAGAGAAAAGTCAGGGATTTTTTTTTAAAGTACTGGAAAAAATTAAAATTGCAGGATTCATAATTAGTTTTATTTAACTTTTTAATATATATTTAATTAAATATTAAAAATCATGGATTTATAGAAAAATTTATAGAAAATTTATAGAAATTTATAGAAAAAAAGCGCTAAAAAGAATTGAATTTTAAAGAATTTACAAATGTTTGCAGAAATTTAATTTTATTCAAAAATTTAAAAAAATTCTAGTCAAAATTTCAAATATCTTTAAAAATTATAAAATTCTTTTCCAAAATTCAATTATTTTTATAAATAATAAATTTTTTTACAGAGATGCAATTATTTTTATAAATAATAAATCTCATCATTGAATTTGAATTATTTTTAATACAATTTTAACCAAATTCCTCTCAAAAAATGTAATTATTCTTAAAAATTTTATTAAAATTCGTCGAAAAAATTAAATTATTTAAAAAATTTTTTTAATTTTTGAAATAATTGTATTTTGCAAAAATTTTATTGATTTTTTTTCAAATTATTTCAAGTTTTTATTTTATAAATATTTAATTGAAGAATTTTCGAATAATTAAAATTTCTTAAAATTAAATTGTAAACAAATGAATTTGAAAATTCTCTAGGAACAATTGCAAAAATTATTAAAAATAATTGATAATTGTTCATTTCTTTCTTTCGAAGAATTTTAATAAAATTTTTAAAAATAATTACATTTTTCGTTAAGTTTACTTAAAATTGTATTAAAAATAATTGAAATTCTATAAAGAATTTTATTATTTATGAAAATAATTTAATTCTTGCAACGAATGTTATTACATTTTTTTTATTGAATTCTTTTGAGAAATTTTATTAAATTAGTAGATTTTGAAAATACTTGAATTTCAGCGAAGAATTTCATTATTTGTGAAATGTAATTGAATTCTTGCAAAAATGTTTGAAAATAATTAAATTTTTCGAGGAATTCATTTAAAATTGTATTAAAAATAATTTAAATCTTCTTTTTTAAACCAAGTTTTTAATTAGTTTAATTTTTATTTGGCTAATTTTTTTGAAATTAAGCCGAGACTCTATACTTGAAAGGTTATATTTGTCGCACCAAAATGTCCTTATCTACTGAAATGAAAAGTAGAAAAAGACGTTCCGCTAGACTATGAAATTTCAGTAGTAAAAGCAGGGTTTTAGTCAGACGTGTCACATTCATAGAACTAGACGAATTTTAATGAAAAATTGTTCAAGTCTAATTTTTTCTTTTGCCGTTTCTCATTATTAAAATTAAAATTAAAATAAAAATTGAAATAAATAGTCAAACTGTAGCAGTGAAGACTTGAATTGCAATTTCCTTTCATTTAATTTAATTGTATTTTATCAGTATAATTTTAATATTTTTAATTATATAATATTTAATACAATAACTAAAATTTTAATTGCATTAAATTTTATCTTACATTTTATAATTGTTAAAATTAAATTGATTTTAATTGTTCAAATGGTACAAAATATAATTACATACTAATGATTTAAAGAAAGAACTATTTATTGCCTTAAAAGGAGAATAAATTTTACGATTTTCTTAAATTCTCACAATAAAAAATGTAGAGAGAAATAGATAGATATACAAAATATATATACGTTTTCCGGAAACTATTGTCCATTGAAGGTTATTTAGTTTTCTTTCTCAGTTTTATGAATGTTTCTTGAAAATAAAATATACGTTGTGAATAGAAAAATAAAAAAAAGCCTTTTAAGTGAAAATAATATACATTCCAATGTACTGCTAATAAGCAGTAATAAAGCATAGACAATATTAGAAAAAATAAATCTTTCAGCGAAAAATTATCTCCTGGCAACGTTTACTGTTTAGATTGTATATACGTAAGTCTAGGTGTGAATGGTGTCGAATAACAATTCTAAATAACTGTTACCGCAAAGTGTAGCACAACTCTTACTTGGACAATTACAGCTGTCTCATTCATTGAGGGAATAGTTTACTATACCGATGACTCGTAGAATACGTATTAATTTTTTTTCTTGCTTTTCATTCCTTTCAAAGTATTTTTATTTTTTTTTTAAGTTTTATTTTGATATTTTATTTTTTAATATGTTTTACTATGTTTTTTATTTTTATAAAAAATTATATTTTTATTCTTATTCACAGCGTATATATTTTATTTTCAAAAGTTTATAATATTATCTAGAATTTGATTACAAATATTTTTTCAATATACAATGCTTAGGTCTTAATATAAACCTATACAATAATTTTATAGGTACTAAATAATAATATAATGTAAATTAAATAATAATTAAAAAAAGCTAAATTTTTGATAATTTAAATTAGTAAATGACTTTACTATACTCTGTAAATTTGAATTAATAAAATTTGTTAATTAACAAATCGAAAATATGCAGGTATTTTTTCATGATTTATAATAAAATAATATTACAAATTAGAAAATTTAAAAAAAATTCTGAAACAAAAAAAAATATACCCATTTTGTTTGTTATACCTATGTTTTTTTCGATAACAAATTTCGTTTGACTAATATAAATTATTATGAAAATTATTCTCCTTTTTATTTATAAAAAATACTAGAAAATTGTTAATTATAAAGAAAATTTTGATTAAGAAGTAGGAAATATACCCATTTTATGCATCATTTTTATTTCTCAATAACAATAATGTTTACAAACTCATTTTTTTCTTTTGGAAAGAAAAACATTAGATATTCCCGTTTCTTAATATTTTTGTAGAAAATTTTCAATTTTCATAAGGAAATAATTTGCATCAATTCTATTTCTTAATTTCAATTGTTTTAATAAAATTCAAAGTTTTTT